CCCCGGGCCCTGCCCGGCGCGGGGGTCCTGCCGCTGGCGCCGCGGGGGCCGGGGACTCGGGGCGCTGCTTCCCGGGGGGCCCGGCTCTCGGCCCTGAGCTCGCCTGCGTCTCCCTGCCGCTTCCTGGGGCCGATCTTGTTATAAATAGTCCTGGGTGTCGGGGACCCTCCTGGCCAGCCCACTCCTTGCCTTAAGATTCGGGGTGTCGACGGGCCGGACTCACTGGTTTTAGGCAAGTTTTAGGGGAAAAAAATACAACTTACCCATCTGCGCTCTGCAAGGAAACGAAGAGATGTTAGAATTTCCTGGTGAGAAGAGTACAGAAGAGTGAGCTGCTATACCCAAACACGAGGAGGGTTGTAGGAAGATCCGGAGTTATATTCAAGGAGAGAACTTGGAATGTGGGGCTTGGAGAGGGTGCAAAGGGTGAGGGGTGCGACGTCAGAGGGTGCTTGATCGCTCTGCTGACTTTTACGGAAAAAATAAGGCAGGTACAGGGGACTCTGCCACTTGATGTAGTAATGCCAAAATAATTGGCATAAACAGGAAGGCTTTATTAGTTTTATATAATATTCTTTTCTAGGGAGCTAAGAGCACACCATTTCTTTCTCACAACATCTTGAGAGTGTGGAATGGAAGAGAATTTGACACCACCTAGGCAGGGCAGTACAGGAGTGTGATCTGCTGAAAACAACCGCCGCCAGACTGATCATCTCTAGACCAAAATACGGACAGCCCATCCAGCACTGTGGCAAATTCAGGTGGCCCCAAAAGAGTGAGAGGATTAAGGGAAAAGGGTATGTTGATAAATGTGATGTTACACAGTGCGTGTCACTCAAATGAGACAGCCAGTCAGGGTCCACTCTTATTTAACAGGGAGGTACAGAGGAAGAGGGAAGTTGGAGGCAACTAGCATAAACGTACACACACCCAGAAACAAAATCAAGGAACCAGGTAACCACCAAATAGTGGAAGCAGGGCCTGGTATGCATCCTGAGGTCTTAGGTGGGCTGCAGGAAGTGAGGAGGCTGGGTATACCTGGCCAGGTTGGAGGGAGAACTGTTCATTCATTTCGCTAATGCAGACCCTTAAACAAGGGTTTCTTAAATCTTTTTGGTCAAAGATTATGTTCAAAGCTCTGGACCCTATTCCCATAAAATACGTATAGAACAAACAAAATTTTGTATAGATTTCTTGGTGCTCTTAGACCCCTTGGCGCTCTAAAAGGTGGCAGAAGGGATTAACATGATAACAGGGATTAAATCACTACCCTGTTTGGTTTTCTTCCATTATTTTTCCTCTTTCTTTCTTTAAAACCAAGCAGTTAAAAACCCAAAGATGTTTTGAATGTTTTTAAAAAAGCAAAACTTAATATTTTGTTCCCGGTGCTGGGACCCTTTTTTTCGTTTTGTAATGCCTTTTCAAATGTTATTCCAAAAGCCACAAGGCTAGTACTATACCAATTGAGGAACATTTAGCATCGTTCATACCTTGGAGCATAAAATGAGATTTTATTATGCTTAAACTATGCTGAAATCATTGAAGGTGCCATACCAAGAAGCAGATCCCTAGGGGAGATATTAACAACTTAGCATTTTCAGTTCAAGTGGGAATATGAATTCCATTTACTGAAGAAAATATTTTTGATATAGCTAAAAAGAAAATATTTGAAAGTAATAATGTTTTTAAATAATAATTATTTTCTTTGACCCTTTGTCCTGGCTCAGCAAAGATGGTCTATGAGCGAATTGGTCCACAGAGGCCATAGGTCAGGGCTGTCCTATTAACATAGAGAAAATCAACAAATATTTATTTATTCTCCACATTGTGCAAATCACCATGCCTTTATATAACAAAAATGTGTATTCTCATAATCAGCATTAAGTAAAGATTAATTATGATATTTAATAAAAAGGAGATTGCTTTAAGTGGTAAGTATCAGTATTAGTTGCTTGAACTGCCATAACAAAATACAATAGACCAGGTGGCTTAGACAATAGAAATTTATTTTCTCTTAGTTCTGAAGGCTAGAAGTGCCAGGTAAAGGTCTGACAGGGTCAGTTCCTGGCTGGCTTCTCACAGTGTCCTCACATGATGGAGAAAAAGAGAGCTCTGGTCTGTTCCTTTTCTTGTGAGGACACTAATCCCATCATCAGTGCCCCATCCTCATGACCTCATCTAACCCTAAGTACCTCCCGAAGTCCCCACCTCTAATTGCCATCACATTGGGGGTTGGGGCATCAACCTGAGTTTTGAGGGGACACGATTCAGTCATGGCAGTATTGTTTTTGGTTAATTGAATGCAGCTTTTGTGTTGTGTCCTGGAAAGTCCTCTGGGAGATCTGCTAAGGTCATTTCTCTGCCTCCATAGTTGAAAGCAGCTGAAGGTTTTAGAACTGCAGGTTTACATAGTATCAAAACTCAGGGGAGGGGCCGGCTCCATGGCTTAGCGGTTAAGTGCGTGTGCTCCGCTACTGGTGGCCCGGGTTAGGATCCCGGGTGCGCACTGACGCACTGCTTCTCCGGCCATGCTGAGGCTGCATCCCACATACAGCAACTAGAAGGATGTGCAACTATGACATACAACTGTCTACTGGGGCTTTGGGGGGGAAAAAAAAGGAGAAGGATCGGCAATAGATGTTAGCTCAGAGCAGGCCTTCCTCAGCAAAAAAAAAAAAAAAAAAAATCAAGGGAAACCCGTCAAGTATTCTGTGACTTCATGTACGCCGAATGTCATATGGCCATTCTAAAATTCAGTTGATTATAAAGATTAAACATAGGTTTTAATCTTTGACAAAGGTAATTTGGCCAGAAAATGTTTAAGCAATCTTAACGCTAATTCATTTTTTTTTTAAATTATTTTATTGGAGTCATATTGGCTTACAACATTGTGTAAATTTCAGGTGTACATCACTATATTTCAGTTTCTGTATAGACTGCATCGTGTTCACCTCCAACGGCCCAGTTTTTATCCGTCACCATACACATGTGCCCCTTTACCCCTTTCACCCTCCCCCCACCACCTTGTCCTCTGGTAACCACTAATCTATTTTCCTTATCTGTGTGTTTATAACCCTAATTCTTAAAACTCTCTTTCTGAAAACTGTTCTGAGAAGAATAACGTTATGAAAATTTCCATCTTCGTTTAGAGCCCTGCTGTCCCATATAAATATAATGCAAGCCATGTATGGAATTTAAAGTTTTTATTAGCTACATTTAAAGAAAGTAAAAAGAAACAGCTGAAATTCATTTTAGTCATATATATCTTATTTAACCCAGTACTATATTAAAAATATTATGATTTTGACATGTAATCAATATAAAAATATTAATGAGCTATTTTACATTCTTTTTTTTGTGTGAAGTTTTGAAAATGGTGTGTGTTTTACACTTAGAGGACAAATCAATTCAGATTAGCCAAGTTTCAAGTGCTCGATAGCCATAAGTGGCTAGTGGCTACCATATCAGACAGCTCAGATTTAGAGGAACTATATAGTTTGAATCATGTTATATACATAGATATGCCTGCAACCTGATGATTCTTTAATTGTTTTATTAATAACCCTCAAAAAGAAGGAGATAAGTAGGATGGTATTATTGGGCTTGGAGCTGTTTATAAATCTTTGATTGGAGTTTCTGGAATTGAAAATCCTGTCACTGAGTAGATTCTGGAATCCTTCAAGAAGATTTAGTAAGTATAAATATTAAGTTCTCAATTTTACAACAATCGCCGGTCAGAAGGGTCATGGAGAGAATAGGCAGCCCGACTTTAGCTCCAATTTATCAGTTTGTTGCTGGCCTAACTCAAGTTTCCACTTTCATTTACTTTATGGGTTTTAGCAATTGTAATTTAAAGCAAAGGAGGTGGTATTTATAAGAGATTACTTAAGTGAAAATGTGATCTTGGAGTGTTCCACAAATAATATTGCCTTATATTTATATGAGTCTTCTCTTATAGGATCGCAGGGATATTTATACATTATCTAATTCTCTTAACTGCTATGTGAGGATTAATATTCCAGTTTTGCAAATGAGGAAAATCAGTTTTGCTAAGACCCTTTTCTAGTGAAACTTGAATGGCACACTGGTTTCCTGACTATCTTAAATATGATACATTAACCTTACTACCTTTCTGTTGTTTCTTTAAAATAAGTTTTTAATGTTCTTTTTTAAGATCTAATTTATACGGTAAAGAACATAATCTTAAGTTTACACCTCAATTTCTTTTACTTGTGTAGACATCCATGTAACCCTCCTCCCTCCAGATTAAGATACAGAGCATGTCCAGCCCACCAACAGGCTTCCCTGTGGTCCCTCCCAGCAGATAGCCCCCCAAGGAAACCACAGTTCTAGCCT